AAAGCCTGGCAGGGCTTTCCTGAAGAGGTGTTACCTGCTTCTGGTGGGGCTGTTTGTCAGGGAGAAGATCCTTGGCATTTGGCCGGGATTTTAGTCAGTCTGAAATGGGCAGTTGCTGCAAACAGGTCAGCCAGAACTTCAGAGGAGTTTGCCAGGGTTTTCTGCAGGCAGGAGTTGGGATGGAGCTGTGCCATCTGCCTTAACATTTCTAAGTATCCCTAGCAATATTTTTATAGTCCCACTTGGACCTCTGCTAATGCCTAAGCTGGAATACAAGCCAGATCTCCCATGGATGTAAAGAAATGCATATTGGCTGACCTTGATGAAGCAGCTTTGAATTACAACAGTTGTGGTTGCCTTGGGCATCAACGTCACAGCCATTTGTTGAGCTACAATCGTGGAAATGCTCAGATTGAAGAGGAAACGGCCTCGAGTTGTGCCAGGGGAGGTTCAGATTGGATGTTGGGAAGATGTTCTTCACTGAAAGGGTGGCCAAGCATTGGAACAGGTTGCCCAGCGATCGTAGAGTCACCATTCCTGAAGGGATTTAAAAGACCTATAGATGTGGCACTTGGGGACGTGTTTCAGTGGTGGCCATGGCACTGCTGAGGGAATGGTTCAGCTCAGTAATCTCAGAGAGCTTTTCCAACCTTAACAATTCCCTGATGCTATGAATAAAACCCAAGAGAAGCCACTGATGCCCAAACAGTAGCTCACCATGCACCTACTGATGCCCAGCCCAGCCCCTGCAGCTCCCAGAAAACTACCCCCAGTTTACATACATTCTGTGGTGTGGAATATCCCTTTGGCCAGGTGGGATCAGTTGTCCTGGCCATGCCCTCCCACCTTCCTGCACACCTGCTTGCTGGCAGAGCCTGGCAAATGGAATAGTCCTTGATTCAGAGTAGGCAGAACTCAGCAATTACTAAACCATCAGTGTATTATCAACATTATTCTCACACTGAATTCCAAACACAGCACTATACCAGACACTAAGGAGAAATTTAACCCTATTCCATCTCAGTTCTAACAGAACACTTCCCTATTAAAAAACTGTATTCAAGGTTAAAACTCACCAATGAGTTTGTGAACAGAGTGCAAGAATGCAAAACATAGTTACTGTGCACGAGGCCACAAACTGTTGGCACAGACCTGGCTTTGTACAAATTCCTCACCAGGAACACAATTCCTCACTAGGAAGAATCATTTCAGAGGCAATACTGGTCCTCACTTCAACTAAAACATTCCACAGGAGCGAGCACTGCTGCAAGCTAGTAAAGCCTAGTGGTTTCCTTTCACTCGGAACTTGCTCATCCTTTGTACTTGCATACCCCAACCTCCAATGAAACTGCTGCTGCCACCTTCAAGACTTTAATTGGAAGCTCCACAGTATCCTGAACCCCCTGAACCCTGAAACCTCAGTGTTTTCCTTTCACTTGGAACTTGCTCCCACCCAAACATCTTCTTCTTTCACACTTGCACATGAGTGCCCAAATGAAACAGCTGCTGCAGCCTCCAAGACTTTAATTGAAAGCTCCACAGTATCCTGAACCCCTTGGAGTCTTGGAATTGATAAGGAAATCCAGCTGCACACAGTGCAGCACATTCCCAAAGTGATCCTTTGGCATTATGTAAGGCCCACAAGGTCATAAGAGGATTATCCCAGAATTTGCCAAATTACAATGTCCAGCCAGGTGTGAGGAAGAGTAAACCCTTTTTTCCCTAAGCTAGGCCTTTCTCATGATGTTTTATAAGTTAACTGTTATTAAAGCTTTATTCTAGGACAGATTTGTAGGTGACCACACGACTGCTCATCACATCTCCTTCCTCTTCTGTGCGTCCCTCCCAGCTCCATGACTGAGCCCAGCTCATCGTTAAACTTGCCTGATCTGGCTCCTGGGTTTAAGAAAAAACTGGAAGAAGACCCTTGAGCAGGGCTGGACTAGCTACAGTCTGACATGATGGATGATTAAACCTCTTCTGACTGGGGAGAGACAATCTCCAGAGCAGAGCCTGTGCTGTCGGAGCACATTGGTGCCTTTTAGCATAAATAAATTAACAAGCGGAGGCTGGAAAGCCTGATCCATGCAGGCGGCTCTTCTCCCTCAGGAAAACAGAGCTATTTGGAGCCAGGGACATAGAACTCTTGCAGCTCCCCTTCCCCAAAATCTTGGTGTTAAGCTCAAAAACTGTACTCCAACACCAACAACCCCGTGAGGAGCCTATAATACCCCAGGGCTCGTTTATTTTGTAGCCTCAATAAATAAAGCACATTCAACTTTACTACAGCCTTTCAACTGTTATAAACATGAAATAAATCTTGTGGAATAAAAAGGCAGCCTTAGCACTTCAGGGAAAAACAGGTAAGACAAATTAAGACTACTAGGATCAGCTCTAAGCCTGGGTTGTAGGCAACTGACTCTTTTAGGCTGCAGAGCTTCAGTCTTTCCCCTCCTAGTACAAGGTGGGAAAGTTGAAAATAATTCTCTTATCCACTCAAGGCAAGTTCTCCAGTCTCTGCACTTAGGGTCTTGTTTACATCGTGCCAAAGATTTAGATAATGCTCCTAACTGCTCTCCAGCTATCCCAAAAAAGGGAAAAACACATCTCCAAAGCAAAAAGAAATTGCACCTCCCTTTGCCACAGAGGAGGGAAACAAGTTCAGCTTAAGCAGCACAACCACTGATTGTACAGCCAGGGGAGTGGAGGAGGGTTAGAAAACCCAAGAAATCACAGAATCCCAGAAACATTTAGGTTGGAAAATACCTCAAAGATCATCAAATCCAATCTGTGACCCATCAACTAGACCAGAGCACTAAGTGCCATGTCCAGTTGTTCCCTGAACCTCCAGGGATGTTGACTCCACCACCTTCCTGGACAGCCCCTTCCAATGCCTGACAGTCCTTGCCATGAAGAAATTCCTCCTGAAATTCTTCTCCTTCCGAATTCTTCTCACTCCAATATTTCTGCCTCAGCTCTGCACACAGGACCCAGAGGTTTTCTCACAGAGCAGTTCAGTAAGTTTCAATTACTAAGCAAACCCAAAAGGCCTCATTATAATCGCTGCAAGACCCTCAAGTTATGTGAAATAGTGATAGTAATGTTCAAGGGCCATCCATACATCTGCGAGGACACACTTAGGGAATTTGTATTCTAAACCAATATTGTGTAATGATTTTAGCACTGAAAAATGCTGGTGTTGAGACGATTTAGTATCTGCAGCTTCTAGAACAAAGGATTATTTTAAAATATCCTTAAATCATATGCAAAGTTTTAACGAGTCTTCATGTTTCTCTGCTACTCCCATTTCTGAAATGCTAAAATATTAAATATAATGGAATTCAATCACACACATCTGAACTAACCAAAGCTCCAAGTTTTACAATCTCTTTGCTCACTCCACCCCTTGTTACCATTTAATGAACTATGTCAGTAGGGAAAATTCAAAGCCGCATATTCTGCATTACAAGGCACCTGATATACTCCTAAACTATGGAAATAAATGCCTTAAACAGACCAGAATTCCCCATTCTGTAGTCCTGGTAGTTCTGTTTACACTAAGTAATCCCATCCCACCTTTCTCAACACTGAGGAGCAGCAGGATTAAGGCAAAAAAAAAAAGGAAAACTTTCCTCTGAAAGCAGTTACCAGGCTATCTGTCAAGGAGCAAAGGTTTTCTTCTTCTACACAGCATAGATCAAGGCCACAAAATAAATGAAATCCTCAAGACAAAGCCCCAGTGACCATTCCCACTTGGCTAGGGAGGAACAGCACGCAGGCAAGGAGAAAGAATTCAAACTGCTCACTGAGAAAGAAACCTGATGGATCATCCTCAAATCTAACTGTTTTCCCTTTCACTCAGCTGGGGAAGCAAATATCTGTTCAAAACTCTCCTTTGCCTAAGGAGTTTCTGATAAAGCTCTTAACACTAATAAATTGCTGAGGTCTCACCTCCAGTCCTGGGGCAGTTCTGGGCCCCTCACAACAAGAAGGATGTTGAGAGCTGGAGCTGGGGAAGGGTCTGGAGCACCAAGAGCAGCTGAGGAAGCTTAGCCTGGAGAAAAGGAGGCTTACGGTGACCTTCTGTCTCTCCCCAACTCCCTGACAGGAGGTACAGCCAGGTGGGGGTCAGGCTCTGCTCCCAGGGAATGCGGGATGGAATGAAAGGAAACAGTCTCAAGCTGTCCACCAGGGGAGGTTTAGATTGAATGTTAAGAAACATGCCTTCATGCAAAGGGTTGACCAGCCCTGGCAGAGCTGCCCAGGACAGTGGTGGAGTCACCACCCCGGAGGGATTTAACAGCAATGTGGATGTGGCACTTGGGAACATGGTTAGTGGTGGCCTTGGCAGTGTTGGGGAATGGTTGGACTTGATGATCTTAAACATCTTTTCCATCCTTAATGAATCTAAATATCAACTGGGCTCGAAAACGTTCATGACGAACACAGACAACACCACATTTCACTGCGAATGCGCATAACCAGCAGTGAAATGCAGCAAGAAATCCAAGCAAGTAAACCCCTGGATCAGAAACAGGATTTAGCTGTTAACCATGTGAGTGTGAAGCTCCCAAACAGATGATGATTCCCATCTGCAGACCTCATCAGAAATAGCTCATCCTCCACCTTTACACCTTGGGTTTGCCACCACCCAGAGCAGTGGCATCTTGCACAGCTCTAATATTTTGGGAAGCTGTGCTTGTGAAGTGTGGCAGTCACAAAATTTGGATGCTCCTTGCTCTGAGAACCCCAGGGCAGCCCCAACCCAAAATATTAATATTCGCATTTCCTGTGGCCTAGCAATTTACATTTTACAGACTGCGGGACTGAAGGGCAGAAAACAACAAATAGAGCTTGATCTCGGCCTTTGCTCTTAAAATAAATTGTTCAGACTGAACCCAGCAACATAAAAAGTCCTGTTTCAGCAAGACCACAGTGAGCAAAATGTTCCCTCATGGTTAAGTGATGCAGCTTTTTGGCCTGGTACTTTGGACACTTACGTTCCACCTGAATACCATCCGTGTGGGCTTTGCTCTTGGGTTCCTGACTTCCAGGTTTTGCCCCGTCATCGTCATCCAGCAGTGGAACATAGTCTGTTTTGTCTACTGTTTCTCCAACCACATCATCAAATTTCTCTGCTTCCAGCGTGGCAATGAAGTCCCTTTTCACTTCTTCCTCAATCTCGTGAGGTGGCTCCGACAGAGCGTCCGCCAGACTGAGGCTGTGATCCAGGTCAGCCATGCTCCAGCACCTCTGCAAACCTGGAAAACCATGTGGGGAGGAAGAAAGAGAAATAAACCTTTCAATAAGAGATCTTTTAGGCTTGCTCAGAGTTTAGTGTTGACCTCTATGTGCGTCCTGTGCCATCACACAGTAAGAAATAAAGAGAAATAAACCTTTCAATAAGAGATCTTTTAGGTTTGCTCAGAGTTTAGTGTTGACCTCTGTGCGCGTCCTGTGCCATCACACAGCAAGAAACGTTAGCTTTAGTGCTTGGTAATTCCCAGATGTTTCTAAATCCCACACACCAGCATGGATAGAAACAGCTGCATCTCCTAAATCAGGTTTTAGCACACTAATGTTATGTTTCATAAACCTTTCAATAAGAGATCTTTTAGGTTTGCTCAGAGTTTAGTGTTGACCTCTGTGCGCGTCCTGTGCCATCACACAGCAAGAAACGTTAGCTTTAGTGCTTGGTAATTCCCAGATGTTTCTAAATCCCACACACCAGCATGGATAGAAACAGCTGCATCTCCTAAATCAGGTTTTAGCACACTAATGTTATGTTTCATGGGAGGTTTTATCAGAACCTTATACAAAAAATGTGAAAAAACCCAATCCCCAGTACCTGGCGAGCATAAACATGATGTGACATTGATCTGTGCCCTGCCCCAGATCCAGCAGTTAATTACACATCCTCAGTAGCAGAAAGATAAATGACGCAAGAGAATTTAGTTCTGGGGTTGACTCCACCCAGTTTCCCCTATGGAGATTAGGCTTTTACATAATCTCTGATGTATACTTCAGTGATGCTTCTGATCCCTCTGATAGGGTCCTGCAGCATGTTTATGTCCTCAGCAAACCCTGCTAATACCAACAAACCCCCCCATGCCCTGGGATTTGTGCTGGAAAGTGAAGTTTTAATAATGTTTACATGAAAAAATGAAGCAAAGTGCACATGGAGGCATTACATACACAGCTATGAACTGGAAATGAAGTAGAAATAATCATCATTTATCTCTTCCTCCCTGATTTGCATCTCTGTATTCAATTTAATTCCTGGCAGCCAACAGAAAATGTACCTGAAGTGATTCATCTCAAGCCTTAACGTTGGCACAACACACACCCATAGCATTTATTTATTTTTTCACCTTTCATCCTTTTGAAGTTATTCTTGGGAACAACAGCTACAAAGACCTGCTGTGAATTACAGAAAGATGTCTAAGGGAGCAAACCTGACTGACAAAGCTCCTGCTTGACAAAGGCCCATTCTGACATGTCCTCCCAGAGCAGTGTCAGTCAGAGCTCTGAACACGATGCTATCACACAGCAAAGGGATCATCAGCTCCAGCCATTTGAGCCAACTGCAGAAATTGTCTGGTGCAAATTGTAAAAACCCAAACCAGAAAGGACCAATAGTATCCAAATCGGTGTGGTTACAACTCATACTATGGTAGTTCAGCTTCCTTGAATTTTGGTTGATGTTTGGAAGCACAAAGTGATTTGATACTGATCTTCATTACACTTAGAGATGCACGAACTGTGCAGAAATTCTCCTTGGAATGATTTACTCTCCCTTAGGGGTACAACAAGCCATGCAGCAGTGCCTGGTTGAGAGTTATTAGAGAACAAGTACATGGAAGTGAAGTTCAGAGTTTCAACAACAAATTCATCCAAACAAAAAAGATACAAAGGAGCTTAGGAAAAATGATTCAGCATTCTACAGTCAATTCTTACCGTAATGGACAAGAACCACCAAGCTACATTAGAATTCCACACTGGGTTGGGTTGGAAGGGACCTTTAAGACCATCATGTTCCAACTCCCTGCCATGGGCAAGGACACCTTCCATTAGACCAGGTTGCTCCAAGCCCCATCCAACCTGGCCTGGAACACTTCCAGGTACAGAGCAGCCACAGCTGCTCTGGGAAACCTGTACCAGTGCCTCAACACCCTCACAGCCAACAATTCCTTCCCAATATCCCATCTCTCCCTGCCCTCTGGCAGTGGGAAGCCATTCCCCCTTGTTCTGTCCCTCCAGGCCTTGTCCCAAGTCCCTCTTCAGCTCTCTTGGAGCCCCCTTGAGGCACTGGAAGGGGCTCTGAAGTCTCCCTGGAGCCTTCTCTTCTTCAGGGTGGACACTCCCAACTCTCCCAGCCTGGCTCCATGGCAGAGGGGCTCCAGCCTGTATTTAGTCAACTCTGGAGCAGAAGACACAGAGCTGCTGCCACACTGAGGCACGGCCACACGCCCAAGAAAACACAATGGGCACTTGTGTGTGTTGGTTAATGAAGGGTGACCCAAGTGGTCACTGTGCAGCAGCCCAGGGTCGCTGACTTCCATGGCAATCACAGAACACAGATCCTTTTGTTCCAAAAAAACAAAGGCTCCTACTCCTTGAAGTCTAGGAAATTCTTTGTCAGCAGGACAGGGCCACCGACACATACCTACAGCTCCAGCCTCTCTGAGGCAATGCTTCACATTCCTTATAAACAATGGTATCCCACTGCTCCTGGTGGTTCTGTAATTCCAGGCAAGTATATTATGGAAATTAATTCAGTTAAATCTCTTCTTTTTTTTTTCTTTGAACAATAAAAGGTCAGACTTGCAGCCAGATCACACTTCTGGCAGCAACTGCAGTTTTTGTTGGTTTAGATAAAGACCCTGAATCACCACTTGGAATCCAGAGGTGAAAGGTTTGGAGTTCTTAACCCTATGTGCAGGGTCAGAGCTGAATGAATGATGGCTATTTTAAAAAGCCATTTTTATACTTAAGTGAAAGAGACATTAAAAATAGTTTCTTTCAGAGTTCTTGACTATTTGCAAGACAAACCATCATCCAGATGTGCACACAACTGGCTGCATTCCCTATAGGGAGTGTCAGCCAGGGAAGTCACTTGCACAGGCATCATCTGTGCATTGGCCAGTCCCTTCAAAGGAAGAAATGGGGCTCAGAAATAGCCAGTTTTTCAGCCATGTATTCCTTTGCTTTCAGCTTGAAACTGAAATGATGAACAGTTAATCATTTCCTTCTGAAAATTTCATTTAATGTAAGGAAGTAAAACAATATTTAAATTTTTCAACAAGCTGCTTCATAAGCATGAGTTGAGGTTGGAAAAGCCCCTCAAGATCAAGTCCAACCATTCCCCCAGCACTGCAGAAGGCCACCACTAACCATGCCACATCCACATGGATGTTAAATCCCTCCAGGGATGATGACTCCACTCCTGCCCTGGGCAGTCTGTGCCAGGGCCCTTTCCAGGAGGAATTTTCCCAATATCCAACCTGAACCTCTCCTGGCACATCTTGACACTGTTTCCTCTTGTGCTGTCCCTCGTTCCCTGGGAGCAGAGCCTGAACCCCACCTGGCTGCACTTCCTGTTAGGGAATTGCAGAGAGCAAGGAGGTCATCCTGAGCCTCCTTTTCTCTAGGCTGAGCCCCCTCAGCTGCTCCTAAGAACTTGAAGCTACTAGAAAATACAAGACTACAGTCAGAAAATATCTCCAGAACACCCAAGAACTTGGGGAATGAGCAAGCAACAGCTGGAGCAAACACACCACATTTCCAAAGCAAAACTTGACTCCGGTTGTTCCAAGCAAACCTGCCAGGCTGGGCTGCCCACCTGAGAGCTTTGTTCAGGGTTTGTCCAGACAGCAAGTCATTGATCCCCTCCCACCCTGCTGGAAACTATGACCCAACTGCTTACAGAGAGGCCTGGAACATTCAGCACCCCCTTCCCTGCACAATCCAAACCCAGTGACTGCCTACAGCCACCACCGGAGTCAGGTAGAGCCATGTCCACGGCTATCCTGTCAGAGCAGGCCCCAGGCAGTGTTTAGGTGGCCCAGGAATTATTTAGTCCTGAGATACTCAGTCACCTTTCTCTAGCCCTAAAAACAGTTGGACTCCATCATCTTAGAGGTCTTTTCCAACCTTAATGATTCCATGACTAACTGCACTATAATTAACGGAGTAAATGCTTCCAGAGCCCCAGTGGCAACAGGAGCTGCTTCCTTTAACCCATGTGAGAGGGCTGAGGGAAGCAGTTAGGAATTCTTAAACCCAAATCCGACTAATCCCAGCCAGATCATCCTTCAATGTACTAACATTCCACCACAAGCAACTGATGGATCCGTATGATGCTTTTTTGGGTCCACATCCTGCTTTTTTGGGTCCACATTAATGTGGCAGCACTGAATGAAACAGCTGCCATCAAATATGTGGCATTTGGGGTTTTTTTGTGGCATTAACAGTGTTGCTATTTCAGATCTACATAGGAACTAGGACACTAAAGTGATCTAGTTTCTGGGGGAAAATAATGAGGTTATGCAGCTTTATCAGCAGGACATTTCCTTGTCTATATTTAGCTAAATAAGGAATGCATAAACTACGCATAAAAATAAACCAGTGTAACTCAAAAAAGCCAATTTGGATTTTTGTAGCAAATACAAAATTGGTGTCTCAGACACACAGAAGCACCTGGCATACAACTGCCCTCACCCAAAGACTGCAGGAAGCCCCTCCACAGCTCAGGTGGGTCCAAGGACAGTCACAACATCCCTGGGAATTTCTCCCTTTCCATCTGTGTTAAAGCAGCCAAACTACACTAATTCCCAGACTCCCAGGGCTTGTGGTGTTAACAAAGACAACAGGAAAATGAGTATATTGCATGGATTCTGCCCAAGGGTAGAAAGCAAATCCCGAAGCATATTCATGTGTTGAGCAGCTCAGCAAGACAGATGCTTCCTACACCATTTCCATTCATATGGAACAAAGTTAGCTAGGAAGCATTAAAGAAAGCTCATCAACATGTACCTTAATACACTGCCTCCATAGCTGTGCAAATCAGATATTAACAGAGCATGAGGAAGATTAATTATGACATTAATTCTTAAGATGAAAGGGCAAAACTGAGCAATGACTGACGTTTCAGAAGACAAACGTTTTAAAATGCACTAAATTACATCATGGAAAGGGCTGTCAGACATTGGAATGTACTGCCCAGGGCAGGGGTGGAGTCA